GTTCAGTAATGCAGTTTTGCACCGCAGGCACTACAGGCGTTTAAATGCGGTGGAATCATCGCCTGCTCAAATGGTTCCCTTAAGTGACTATAAGTAAGAAGTGTGTGTTTTTTCCGTATCAATCCGCTATTCAGATTTTTGATATTTCCATTAATATTTGATTTCAATTTCCAACGTTTCAGTCTCATCGAGCGATGGAAAATAGTAACATGGTTGCATTACTAGCCCGTCCATATTTTCGAATCCACATTTATCTAATCCATATTTATCAAATCCGTATTCATCCATCAAAAATTTGAAACAAGGTTCCTCGTCGTGGACGCTTCCATCAGAACGGCTGAAAGTGAGTGGCTATACGGTAATTTCAGCCCTCCGTAATAAGATATTGAATCACCCGGACCAGGTCTAAAGAAATTGCAGTATTTTCGTGCGAAGAACTATGCAAGAATTCTTTAATGCCATACGAACATGAATCTTTCGGTATTTTGATTCAGTCGGTACCATCCGTATCCAAAGTCTGAGAATTGTGTGAAAGCGTCATTATTAGGCAGGTATAGGTCACATCGCGAGAGGGTTCCTCGTCTATAATGTCACTGGTTTTTTCTGTCATTCATGGCTGAAAAACTGGAACTGAAATGCAGATACCAGTTTCCGTTCTTGCCGTATTTGTTCTTTCCTTTTCTTGAAATCCGTCTCAATCAGATTTTATAAGTAGTAAAGCCTTGACCGCCTATTTGAACGTCTCTGGTCTAACGTGATGAAACTGTGGTATGAAGATTGGACGTTTTATGTTCATCTGCTACACAGACAATGACCTATTACATATCTAAATTAGGTTTAGTTACACCAAGGTTGTTGACAATGTGACTGCATAATGAACATTAGAGTTTTGTCGCACTCATCTGCAGTTGCGAGCACAATTAGCGTTTTGCTGCAGTATCTGACATTCATTCATTCAGTGAAATTTAAATTTCACTCAAGCGAACTCTGCACCGTGCACTCGATAAGTTTTCAGCTGGATATAACAAATAAACAAGCACAAAATGCAAAAGAAACAGTGAATAATTGGATCTAGATCAGGCTTGCCAAAATGTAGTTTAAGTCGAGTGCTTTAATTTCTTGAGACATCGAGCAGAAAACTGAATGAGTAGCCATCGGTAACCCTCAGTCTGACTGCATGACTTGCCCTCTTTGACGAGACGTGATAGTTCGTCTTCGCAAAGCTTAGACTTCCCAGAACAGTTTGTGTACCACGTCAAAACGATCCATGTTATTATACCGCTGCCGTGTAGCTTAATTTTTTCGAGACGTCCAAGGCATTGACAAACGAAGTCTTTCAACCCTATGATGTTCTCATCACCCGTATAACGTTAAAGCTTTATATCAGCTTCTGTTCAAATTGGCTACCTATGAACAAATGGCTACCCATTGATGTCACTCATTTCCTCAACACTAGTTAACATTTTTTGCCATTGTGCGTAGTCCCGTTTCGAGGCGTTAAGGGCAACGAGGGTCCTTATTTTTAAAATTGTTTTTTTTATTTCGCGCGTGTCTTGTGTAATGTTATGTGTGAAGTGTTATGTTATGTATAATACTAGCAAACTGATGTCCAAGCAAATTGTTCTTCTCGTCTTTTCTTCCTGTTCATTACTGCTTCGTCTTATTCCTTACATTTTCTTCTATTTCTCCTTTTCCACCGTCCTTCAATGAAGCCTTTCTTCGTCCAGCTTTGAAGTCTTGGTGAAAATTCAATGATCAGGGGAAAAAGATTTATCGCAGACTTTTAATATGAAGGCAAAGTCAAAAAAGGCGTCATAACAACTGACGAAGGAAGTCATCATGAATAAGAGCAATGCCTATTGTCTTAGATTCAAGCTAACAAAAATCTAAAGTAGTGACGATACGAAATCACATCTTGACTAAAATTACCGTAGGTGGCGTTGAACTGCAGTAGGTCATCTCCAGCTAGTGTGCTTAAGTTCTCTCTGAGGCGAAACAGACGACTGATAATCGCAGCGCCTACGAACACCATGTCTTTGTGCGAGGAGACTCCTCAGCGTATGTCGCTGCATCGAAAATTCTACAAAGCTGAGACGGGTAAAATCTCTAATCTAATCGTTCGCAAGTTATGAATGCGATAGCCTAAATACCAGCTTTTCAGGACACAAATTCATCAAAGCTACCTTGTGTGGCGTTCCAAACATCCGCTGCCAATGGCTGAACGGCCACGTAAATCAGTAAAATTAATCGTAAACTAGCTTTAGCACTAAGCGTCCATTTGGAAAACATTCCGCGGCTAAAGCTATGATGATTCCGTCACGGTGTGAGA